TTGTATTGCTACAGTTGACAGGTGACTGTGCAATATAAGGAAGAATTCATCATGGATTCGAAAATGAAATGCACCGGCTCTGTTAATGAGGTTGTATGCGATTCACCACACTAAATTAGCTCGTCATGAAGTACACATTTATTTTATTCTTGGTGAGAAGAAGCCTTCATAAAGCAAGTGATGTCTGCATGCATGAGCAGGTTGTCTTCCTTTCCTGTTATCCGCACCCCCATTTTCATACCTCCTTATTCATTCCTGGTGTTTAGTAGTTTTTGATATCTGGCAAGCATATACATTTAGATTTGCGAATTTGGCATCAAAGCAAATACTCCTATCAGAAGATTTGGCCTGTGCTTATGTCAAAATGTCATTAGATTGTCAATTAAATCGTCCTGATAATGCTCTGTCGCAGTGTCACAAAACATTTGGCAAGCATTGCTGGGCAACAACATCAAGAATGGCCCTCTTTTAATATATTTTGTAGACAAACATTCAAATGGTGTAAATTAATCATGCCTACGAAAAAAATCGGCCTAAATATTGACAAAATATTGGCCAAAAGAAATCGCTATTTATTTAGTCACACTTAGTTTACCCTAGATTTGTAGGTTTTTCACAATTTTACCCTTTCACCTCCAGTTTCCAGTCCTTCGATCCAGTAACGCCTTTTAGGAAGACGTTATGTAGTGCAATGTGTGAGCTTAAAGCAAATTAAGTTTTACCTGGAAACTGAAGGTTGTCTAAAGCTCAATAATTAATGACGCCTACTGTGTTTCGAGGTTGGCGCTATTCACTACCTTGCTGAATTAAAATTGTGCATTAAATCACTCTCCCACTACGAGTTACCACTAGCTTTCCATCAAATTACCTAGCATATTTTCGTCACGGAACGGCACCAACTTGTAATCCAAATAGCAATAAAAGGTGAAAAAGTTTAAAACGCCTCTGTCAGAAGGTCTCAGCAACACAACACGTGAACGCCGTGGCAGTGTCGACCGTGGAGCTGCACACCAATCGCATGCATGAACGGAGATCTCCTGGCTATAATTTGCTTACTAATGGCCATGTTTGGTCATTCCCATCTCTATATAAGCCGCCTGATTTG